GCTCTCAACCCGTGGTTACTATCACCACCATCTCGGCTCCTGCCATGGTCACCGTCACTCATCAGTTTCCTCCTGCAGCCGTCACCACAACCATAATCGCCGCCCCCGAGCCACCTTGCACGACCGAACCCTACTCCATCAAAACCGTCTACGTCGACCCTGAGCCACCCTGCACCACCACCCCCGCACCTGTTTCCATCACAACCACAACCGTCTTCGTCGACCCCGAGCCACCTTGCGATACGGTCACCGTCTCCCCCGAGCCACCCTGCGACACGGTCACTGTCGTCGGAAGATCTGCGCCCACGCCCTACACCACCTTCTACTCAAAGCGCCAGCAGCTGCGCGATCTCTGAGTTATCAGAGGAAAGGAGAAGGACTGCACGGGGCTGGAGATGACGTTGAAGCATGATTCTGTTTGTATTGTTTAGTGTTGTTTCGTTAGTTGAAGTATGATTGTTGGGCCCAAGGCCACCAAACTGCTCTTGTTTCTTTCTCGGGCGATATCTGTTCCCTGTCCATGTTCAACGCCACCTGATGTGCGTCCACCTTTATTTTGCGTTTCAACTACTGGTAGCTTACGGTGTAGTACATGGGAAATATTGCTCTGGTTCTTTGCTGTTGCCTTCATATCATTTCTTAGATGCATATATAACACATTAGTGATATTCCCACCAGACTTCTTCCAGTACATTTCAATCCAAACTAAAAGAACGGCGAGGAAGATACACTCGAGAACAAATCATCCCAATCCACCAACTCAAGCTGTATCGCATCATTCACATGAGAAGGATACTGTTGCTCCCCGAATCCATCCAGGGGCATATCTTGCAGAGAATCCACCGCACTCTGGCCAACCACACTACTTCCATACTTCTCTCCCGTATCCTCAGCATCCCGATACCTTGCCACAATCTGCATGAGAGACTCATACAACTTCGCCGCCGCAAGCGAATCATCCCTCGCATCAGCAATCATACGCAACCCTGTCGCTAAATCGCTATCTTCTTGCAGCTCAGCATGTACTTCACCCGACCTATTAACACAAGCATCCATGAGTAACGCGATAGTAGCGATGAAAACACTATACAGACCAGCTGGAGGCCGTTGCGGCCGTCTCGCAAACGGGTGCCGCGACTGCAGTAATTTCGTTTCGAGGTATATAAGCTGCCGGGCGGAGTACAGACACGCAGTACGCGATGAAGGCATTGTTGAGGTACCCATCGACGCAGACGGACGTGTCAGCGTAGTAAGATGCGATTTACAGCGCTGAGTGTGGATGAGCGTGTTGAGGAAGTAGGCTTGGATGAAGGCGTGGTTTGGTTTCTCAGAGGAAAAGGTGCTGTCATAGTAGTCTGGCAGGAAGAAAGTGGGTGTTTCGTGCATTAGTTGTACGAGTTGGCGATCCATGGTCATGAGGTGGGTGGAGCGTTGGAAAGGGTCGGAGGTGAGTTGGTCGACGAGGGTGCGGGAGATTTCTGCGAGTCGGATGCGCTGTAGGAAGTAGGACATGTCTGTTTGGTGGGAGAGGGGGAGGGAGGGCTGGGGGCCTGTGGGGAGGAGGTCGATGTCGTTGATGTTTAGGGGTTTGTTTACGTGGAAGTGGAGAGGGTTGGTTTGGTAGATGCCGCCGCTGGGTCCGCCGTAACGTGCTGCGAGGAGCCTGGGTGGAGCGGTCAGTCTACTTTGTTGCTTTCATGTATCGGATTCTCGAGAAGAGACGTACCAATCCGTTGCGATCAGGTACCACCACACACGACGGCCAATCTCTGCTTTGAGCGTCTGGGACGCATCAACATTGGATACATGGTCGATCCGGTGAAGACCCATTTCCCGACATAGCAACAAGCCAGTTGATATCAAGGAGCGGTATCGTAACGATACACCTTCTATGTTGCACAAGACGTATGACAAGATTATGATGCCTTGTATAGCCTCCAGAGCCAGCGTATGCCCCTCTTGCAATGTCTCGATTACAGTATATGTGGCCTTGATCCAAGTGGATGTCTGAGAGCGGGCTTGGGTCGAGGACAAGAATAGGGGACGTTCTCTGTTCAGTCCGTCCGGCATACTCCATACATGCGTTGTATGAGCGATGATACTTAGCAGTAAAACGACTTTACCAGGATGAACAGGCTCACTACTTTCGATTGGACGGTAAATTTCGTCGAGGAGGGCTGGTAACGAGGGGGTATGCGTTACGTGTTGAATGTAGTTGAGTTCGGTGATGTAGATGTCGAGGAGTATGGTGGCTTCTTCCCTTAGTGGGAGCCATATACATGGTGTTAGTCTACCGAGTTGCGTTGTGTAAGTCAGTTTTGGTGGTATTGTGCGGATCTGACCGATCTTGAAGGTAACATGGTTTGTGGTAGACAGTTCGAAAGAGCTCTGACTCATGGAGACGCCTTCGAGATGTTCTACCATGTCTTTCGTTTCTTGAATATCGGAGGGCTGGTTCATCTCGATTTCGTCTCGAGCGGTTTCAGAAACAAAGTCCGTTCGAACGCTTTCGCTGTCGTCATTGCCCGCCTGCGGAGGAAACGTAGTCTCTCGTATGATACGTTCTTCGAGCTCCTTCACACGAGACTGAAGCGCATCTATCTCAGCCTGCATGCCAGGTTTTCCGGTTGAAGATAAAGGTGTCTGGATGCTCTCATGTGGCCGTTGCTGTGTGAGCGAAGCCCCGACCGAGACTGGTGTCTGAGGGCCTTGAACTTCGCGTGCCGCTGGCGTAGGATCGAATTGACACGTCTTTCCTCGCGACCTGCAACTTGTGCATGGAAGTGGTCGATCACAGCGAATCTTGCGCGACCGGCAGAAGTTACAGGAGTATTGTCCTTTGCGATTGGAACGCTCTCGCTCGCCCGAAACTGGCATGGTGATTTTCTAGATCTTGGTAGACAATCGCAATGAGAGAACAGTGGCAAGAAATCAAGAAACATATTCTTTAGACTGGGGAGGAAGATGGTTGGTCGCATGAGGTATGTCTGCAAGTGAGTGCCAAGCAAACCGCGGGTATTCCGCGGAATACCCGTCGACGGAGAAGCGATGCTGACAGCATATTCCTAACTGATGTCATACGCCACATGGTTACAGAGTCGATCGTATGCTCGAAGGATTTAGGAGGAAGTGGATCTGAAACGAATTGACCCTACAGACGGCAAGCATTCTAGGTGAGCGCACTTTCCAGTGCTTCGGGAGGGTAGCGCTTTAGGATCTTCATCTTACGGGCCTGCTATCCTTCGCTCTGAGATATGAATGAGCCGATCTGGAGGTACAAGAAATACCGGTAGCAGGTGCGACGCAGTTGAAATCCATGTGGTGATAGGACAGATGCAGATAGATGGATTTAGAGGTGCGATGCGAAGGTGGGCGAGCAATGGCAATGGCAATGGCGAGACCAGACGCCGACATTCGCACCAGTCATGTTCGCCAAGACATAGACATCATCTGACTCGTGCTCAAAATAATTCCATCTGCAGCCACCACCATATCTTCCCCTCCACCACAACACCAATGTAACCGATGTCATTCATCCCCCGCCATGCCTTCCCGCAAATCCCATCGCTGCCCCGGTCCTACTTCCTGGGCCACCACAAAGCCGGCCTGGCGAAGATGAAATCGCTCCTCTCTTCCATCGACCTAGTAATCGAATGCCGCGACTACCGTGTCCCACTCACCTCGCGCAACCCTTTGTTCGAAGATGCGCTGGAAGGAAAAGAACGGGTCATTGTGTACACGAAGAGGGATCTGGGTGGCGGATCGCGCGATAACCGGAATGAGGATGTCATTGCGAAATGGCATCACCCTACTACGACTATGTTTGTGCGGAACGGGAAAGAAGCCGAGGGCGAGATTAGTGGAAGGAAGAGCGTGATCAAGCTCCTGGATATCCTGCGTGAACATGCGCAGAAGAGGTGGAAGCTAGTCGGCCACCGCGTCATGGTAGTCGGCATGCCCAATGTGGGTAAATCCACGCTCCTCAACGCCCTTCGCGCACAAGGAATCGGTCGAGGCAAAGTCGCAGCCACGGGCGCACAACCGGGTGTAACGCGCAAAGTGAGCAGCAGCGGCGTGAAAATCATACCGAGTGAAGACGACATGGAAGCAGCGGAGGCAGCGGCGAAGAAGAAGCTGCAAGGCGTTGGAGGAGGTGTATATCTGCTTGACACACCCGGTGTTTTCATCCCATACGTCCCCGACGCAGAAGCCATGATGAAACTAGCGCTCTGCGGCTCCGTCAAGGATACCATCATTGCGCCTGTTATGCTCGCGGATTACCTCCTCTACCACCTCAACCTCCAATCGCCGTCGCTATACTCCGAATACGCGTCGCCTACTAACGACATCATCGAGCTTCTTACTGAGATTGCGAAGAAGACTGGTAGACTGGGCAAGGGCGGGGTCATAGATACAGAAGCGACGTCGCTGTGGATGATTCAGAAGTGGAGGCAAGGCAATATGGGTCGCTTTCTGTTGGACGAGGTGGATGAGAAAAGTTTGGTGCAGGCGAAGATTGATGAGGAAGGGCTTACGCCTAGTTTTAATCAGGCGAGGAAGGCGGAGCGGGAACGCAGGAGAGAGAGGAATAAGGCTAGGGGTGAGAAGTAGGATGGTGAGGCGGAGTGTCGGTGGGCATGTGGCACGGTTTGCGCAAAGCGTCTAGTACAGATGTTTAATGTGACCACGGCCTAATCAAGCACGGCTTCGAAGGGATGTCCGCTATACTCATGTCCTGCAATCGTTCTCTACCGCATCCAGGACAAAAGACGGTACAATTGGCCTATAAGTCAGACCGAAGCCCTCATCTTACAACGCAATAACCCTAGCGAAGTCACCAATTTCTCCTTGATATATTTCTTTCCCATCCTTCAAACAGATCTGGGCGTAACATTCCATCTTCTTACACAACTCCATCCACAGAAGTTCCTCCTCACATGCCTTAACCCGCTCCAAGTCCATCAAAAACCAGATTACACAGAACAGATACTTCCAGCCGCTTAAACAGCCCCCACGGGACCCCCCACATCAGTTCTACCCAGCATCCTATTATACGGCGGCGGCTCATCATGATAAGGCGGCGGTTCCTCCGTATGAACAGCCATCTCATACAACCTCGGCGCAGCATCCAACTCGTGATACGCCAGCGGCCCCGGCCCAGCCTCCAACAAATTCGCACTTTCAATCGATGGCGCAGCCTGCCAATCTGTAACCACCTGTACAGGCTGGGTACACGCGATACCGGACCACTCTCTATCCGCACATCTCCCCGTGATCTCTATCTGGAGTTCGTATTCTAGGTTCAGGCCGTAGCTGGTGAAGCTGGGTGCTATGTTACCATCCTTTGCGAGTTCGATGTTCGCTACATCGAGCAGATTGAGGCCGTCGTAGAGGGGCTCGCCGTCGCCTGTTTCGTATTTGTGGTCGCAGAGGACGATGGTGCGGCGGTCGGTGTGGTTGGTTACTCTGCTGGGGTGTTTGAAGAAGGCTTCGTTGGGGAGGAAGACGTTGATCTTCGCGTTTAACTGCACTTTTAGGCGCCGGATGAAGAGATCAGGTGGGGACGGCAGTGATTCTGAGCGTTTGGTATGTTGCACTGTTACGACGGCTGGGAGGGGGGAGCCTATGACTAGGATGCTGGGTGGAGTGGCGAGGACGTTGAATTGGGCGTAGGGGATTTCTGCAAAGGACTCGATGCCGAAGAGGAGTTCTTTGTCGGCGAGTTTGTCTTTGAAGCGGCCGAGTTTGCTGGAGTTTTCGCCGTAGTTGGGGAGGAGTTTGCGTGTCCGAATTAGCTTCGCTGCGCTGCAGTGTTTGGGTAGTTTGGTGCCGAAGTTTAGGTCGGGTTGCTGGAGGGAGCGGTCGTAGGGGGGTGCTGGTGGCATGTACGTGATTTCTTGTCGGACTCGCACTGGTGGTGTGCCGGGTAGATCGGACTCCATGTAGGCTTCTAGGTGATATACGACCCGTGGACTTGTGGGCGTGGGACCGTTAAGTGTTGGAGGTAAAGGGAATCCAGGAGAATGCTGGAATCGGGGGTGGTTCCATTGGTCTCCTGGGTGAAGCCATACTCTACCTAAACGTAGGTGTACGAAGTCAGTACATGTCTCACATGCAGTTTGTACAGCGATATTTCTTACCAGCGGGAGGCGGTATCGTAGCATGGTTTCCGAATGTAAAGGAGAAAGGCAGCTCGACTCTGGCGGGATCCCTCACGTTGTTGGCACGGAGGTGGAAGTCATCGGCTGCAATTTCGTGTATGTAGAGGAATTGCGAAAGTCCATAGAACTCAAGGTGCACGCTTCTTCCATGGGCATCTTCAACGGCAGAGAAGCCTTTTAGACTTATGCTTATGCGTTTAGGTTGTGATGTGGGCACCACGATTAGCTGGCCTTGCACGCAGTCCCCGCTTGTGTAGGTCGGTGGCGGATTGAGCACTTCGATGTAGACGGGATTGTCTCTGCGATTAGCTCGGCTGCCGGTCGCAGCAATTGTTAATACCATGATCAGCTGAAGGACGATGGACGACTGTATGATAAGGATAGGAGAATAATTGCGGTTATGGAAAACAATGGCATTGTATAAGGCTGCCCACGGGGTCAAGTATCGACGGCGATGTCGCTTCGGTGCCGCCCCTGTTCCTCGGGACCTGCCATACCAAGCCCTAGGGTGTCACGAGTTAGAGCCGAAGTTCCATCTTGGTATTCAAACCCGGGTTTGATTGTCCTGGACGCCCTATGGGCCTAAAGACCCGCGTATCAGCACCGGTGGCTCAGCCTCGATGCTTCGACAAGCAATACTCGCGAGATCGCCGTCAAATCTCCGTCTATCAGGCCTGCCGTGGTGTTGCAGGTGTGTTGCGCGATGACGAGGCGCTTTGTGGTGATGCTCATTGGTGGTGTTGGCGGCGCCGGGGTCGTGCCGTCATCGATGGAGGGCGCGACTCGCGACTTCTGGACTTTTTGACCCTCTAGCAGCCCACGCCCGTCCCAACCAACACGGCCAGCCATGTCGTCCAGCTACACCTGCACAGCCTGCTCCAAGGCCCTATTGAGGTCCTGTACCTCGCTGCTCCAGGTACACAGCCACGACCCTCTTCCCCAAAGCGGATAATTGACTCTCGTAGCGAACGAATCGAGCGTCTCTGCGCCAAGCACGTCGAACAATCTCCACCACCTCGCCCACCGCCTACCATGCCTCGCAATCGCTGTCAGCAGATGTCAGGCCCGAAGCGATCAAGAAGCCGCATCCCGCTGTCGCATCCGGCGTGACTGGCCTCGCCCAGAAGCTGCGCGAAAAGGCACCACTCATGACCGAGACGTACGTCGCATACGGCGCAACACGAGACCTCATCAAGGAATGCACAAAGCCCGGTGAATACAAGATACCCCAGGCGCTGCTAAAGCGGGGCGAGATACCCGTCGACGAGAACGGCGTGCACCTAGGCGAGGCCGAAGGGTGGTGGTATGACAGTAAGTACTCACAATGAGAATACCCAGGCCTTTCGCTAACGCATTCTGCACAGCCCTCGGACTCAAGCCAACCTTTTCGAATTGGGCCCAAATCACCTTCATCCACATGTACATGCTACAAGTCCGCTTCCGCATGTTCCCCCAGTCGCACGCACCAGTCTGGATCCAGCACCTCACCAACCAAGCCTTCTACGCCGCCGAGGACAGACTGGTCATATGGCACAAGTTCAACGCCAATTCGCTACGTCAGAAGCATCTCAAAGATATGTTCTCGCAGTGGCGGGCGGTGCTGCTGTCGTATGACGAGGGGCTGATGAAGGGCGACGCTATGCTTGCGGCGGCTATCTGGCGTAATCTGCTCGGCGCAAAGGAAGATGTTGACTTTGAGAAGCTGGCACAGATTGTGGGATATATGCGGAGAGAGCTTAAGAGGCTGGATAGTGCTACGGATGATCAGGTCGCGGATGGGACGTGGACGTTCCGTGGTAGCCCCGGAGACGAGGCGCCTGTTGTTAAGGCGCCGAGTAGGATGATGGCGGCTGAGACTTCGAAAGCGTGATATATGAACGCTACGAACGGGATCTAAGAGAAGAACCATGTATCAACAATATGTATATATCTTATGAGAGATGCGATATGGAAATAAGCCTGTTTACGTTCTTTCAGGTTTCACTCATGTCTCTGCATACTCAACCTCAGCGCCTTCTGCAACTCTTCTTCGTCTTCACCCTCACTAGCTGAAGCCCACCCTTTTCCCTTACTCTGATGATGCGCCTCCAACAGACTCTGCTTCTTGACGTACGCCATCACAATCTCTTCTTCCGTCTTTTCCTCCATCGTCTTCTCTCCTCGGTGCTGCGCCTGGAACTCACCTTGCGTTGTACCTGCAAGATGACCCAGGTCATACGAAGGGGGTCGATGGGCGCCTGGCGATGCATCACTCGTTGTAGCTGCCATTTGCTCCGATGTTCCTACTCGCTCCCTATCGAGCTCTTCCCATCCATTGTCTTCGTTCATCTGACGCTGTTCTTTCAGACTTTGCGCCATGGCTTGTTTCAGCTGTTCCTCGTATTCCAGGGCTTCTCTCGATTGTTGCTGCGCTTCGACTTCACTGGACGCCATCGCCTGGAGTAGTTCCTCACTGGATTCTGCTTCAGCGCCTGCGTGTGGTTCATCTTGTACTGACTGATGGATAGACCCGTTGGTCTCCGCCGCTCCGAGCGGTACTTCGGGTTCGGTATCCGTAGTATGCGAATCGTACTGCGAGGTAACTGTGGCACTTTCGAGATCCTGGATAGAAGCATCCACAGACCGGACTGAACCTGCTGTAGACTCGTCAACCGCCTTCCCCTTCCGCTGTGCATCCAAAACATCCCTCATCATCTCATCGAGTCCATCTTTCTTCTTCAAATACTTCTGAATCAACCCCCACCTCTCAACAACATCCTCCTTCTCCTCCGCCCCACTCTGCACCCACTCCTGATACCCCTGCGCCGTTCTACTCGTAACAATATACGTCTGCACACTACTCCCAAACCTCTTCTGAACCTCCTTGTGCACCCCCTTCATCATATAACTCGGTATCCCAAATAGCGCCGCCCCGGGCTTAGCTATAAACCCCCCAATCCCCTTTCCTACGCCCTTGAAGAATCCACTGGCGCCTTCTTTCTGAGCACCCTTCCAAGGCTGTGTGAAGAGGCCGGTGACGCCGTCGTACCAGCCGAAACCGAATTCGCGGCCTATAGCTACCATGCCGGATTTTAGGTCAGAGACTTTCTCTTGGGGACGTACGGTGGTGTCGTTCCAGAGCTTGGGCGCGTTGTGGAAGCCTTTTGTTATGCCCACGGAGAGTTCCATGGGTGATTGGACGCCGGCTTTTACGATGCGTCCGAAGCCTCTGCTTGTTCGTAGGCCAGTGGGGCGTAGCATGTCGTTGTCTTTGCTAGAGCTGGATGCTACGCTGGGAGTCCGAGATGCTGGAGTGGGGAGGTTGGGGGTGGTCTGAGAGCGGGCAAGCGGTTTCCGCTCCATTGCACTGGGATGGGGGTGTTGTTGTGAGCTTGATGAAGCGGAGCTCTCTCCTAATAGCGACGACTCGCTTCTCTTTGCGGCGTTCCGTACTGAAGTGTCAGACTGCTGTCTGCTAGGTCCGAAAGGAGCTTGAACTGCCTTCGCCGTCTCTGAAGGCATTTCAGCTATGCCCATACTCATGCTGCCCAACGTCCTAAGTATCCCCATACCGAATCCAGATATAGGCTCCAGAGGGCCTTCATCGGTCTCATACTCCTGTGCCCTAAAGAGCTTGAGGTCATGGAAATCCAAAAGACCGGCATTGGCCAATGTGCAGGCGGCAAAAGCGCTAAGTCTGATTTGAGTGCGTTTAATGCGCCATACAGCTACTCGAGATGGTGCAAGGTTGCAACGAAGTCGGTCGGGGTCGAGATACTGGTGGAATGATTGAGCGCCCATATCGCTGCCGCGCTCCGTAGCGATCTTGCTTGCAAGATCTTTGGCACGTTCGAGACTTTCGGGCTTTAAGCAAAAGTTGATAGCATCTGCTAATTTGTCCGATGTGAGTTGCCGGTAGGGAATTGGATCGGGACCGGCACCAGCTCGAGCGATCATTGCGCCCCAGAAGGGTTGATCACCGAAAAACGGGACGACTAACGTAGGCCGGCCTGGAGTAAAGTCAAAAGGTCAGCTTTTGGTTGATTTATTGCTCAGTAGGCACATAACTCACCTGCTGCGATGCCTGCCGCCGTAGTCCCCGCGCCACCGTGGTGAACAACACATTCGATGTGCTTGAAAAGCCAGTCATGCGGCACATTCCCTAACATAAAGACATTCTCAGGGACCCGAAGTTCGTCCGCGCCCATACCGCCCCAGCCCTTGGAAAGCAGTACACGTCTTCCGCCTGCAATCCTTTTCGTGGCCTCGAAGATGAGTTCCGTCATGGCGTTCGGATCGTCCAAAACGATACTTCCAAATCCAATGTACACCGGCGGTGGTCCATCGTCAAGGAACTTTTGCAGCTCAGGCGTAGGCGTGTAGTTAGAGGCCAGATTCAAGAAGTAAAAGCCAGAAATGGATATATGAGAACCCCAATCTTTTGGCTTCGGAATGAGAGCTGAAGACCAGCAGTATGTGTGAGGAACTTTGAGGCGCTGAAGCATCCCTGGGGCCCAGATCATACTCACGGGCTCTAAGCCGAGGCACTTGGCGCGAAACCGGTTGATAATGTCGCCCAAGCCTTGCCATGAGAGGGCTTCAATCATGGCGTAACTGATATAGTTGGTAAGTTGCGTATCGGCGTTCGAAGACTGGATGTTCGCCAAAGGATGAGGGAAAGCCTGAGTGGGAGAGTACGGCATGGTGAACATGATATGAAGGGGTATTCCCAGCTTCTCAGCGCAATGAATATGCGCAAAGCTTGGTGGGTTGGCAATGATACAATCGGCGACAAAGGGGAAAGAACCGGCGTCGTTTGCGGAGCGATCTGAACTGTCATCGTCGGTAATGCCGTCACCTGTTTCGTAGCACGATCTCCAGCAGCCTTGAATGTATTCCGCGACATCTCTTCTTCGGCGACCGACATCCCCGCTGGCCAGACTGCGGAAACCTGGCATCAATCCAGGATTCTTGACCATGAAAGCCATCAGCTGAGAAGGGTCGCCACCAATGCTGAAGAACTCAAGACCGTTCTCTTCTACAAACTTCTTGAATGTAGGATGAGTTGCCAGACGTACACGATGGCCATAGGTCTCTTTCAAGACTTTCCCGAGAGCAACAAAAGGTTGCACGTCTCCGCGCGAGCCGACGACCTGGATAACCACATTCAGGGCTGGGGGTGGAACTCCTTCTTTACCTCCTAATGAAGGTGGGATGTATGCAGGGGGAGGCGGGCTGCTGTCTTGAACACTCTGAACGTGCTCACGCAGGGCCGGGGTAAAGACTTGGGACAGACGACGGTTGAGCTGGTTGATGCGGATGTTGACACGGCCGTCTTCGGTGACGCTTGCGCTGGTGCCTAGGCCATCTTTTTCGTTCTGAATCTCGCCATAGATGTCGCCATATGGAGGAGGTGGGACTTCCTCGTCTGTCGCATCGGGAGTGACGAGGTCAGTGGTTTGTAAGGGAGCGTCGTGTCTCATTGATCCTGCGGTTTCAGTCTGGACGGCAGAGGCAGCAGCTTGTGCTTGTTGAATCATTGCATGCTGCGCATCGGTCGGCGGAACAAGATGTTCATCTTCTAAATGAGATTGCGTGGCCATGGTATCGAGCTGAGAAAGCAGTGTGCACAGTTCTGGCCGTCCCTGGTAGGTACGGCATCAGTGAGTACTTCATCGTCGAAGAGCGGCTTACGCCCTGGTGGAGGCATCGCATGAGTGCATTCGTGTATAGCAGTCCTTAATGATGCTAAACCCCTATTAGTGGTAAGCTTTGCGCGTGCGAAGGATGCGCATGCGTTTGCGAGAGGCTGAGGGAGGCCTGATTAGGCAGACCTTGCGAGCTGAACACGGGAAGTTGGACCCCGTAATTACGTCATCGTCATCACCAGCCTCCATAGGCACGTATGAACCACAGTTGCGGTACTCATACCATGAGTGTGTATTAATTAGGGGAAGCATGCGAGTTCCAGATTTCCAGTTTGAGTGCATACCAAAACATTAATGTCCAACATCAAAACAGACGTTGCACGATACCGAAAAACAAGCTCGTCATAACCAACGTGCACAGCGCGTCCCAAACACCATGAACGCTCGCAATCGCACCACCAGTGAAATCCGCCAGTACACCTGTGGTAGTGCTCGTCGGCTGTCCGAAACCGCCGCTACCGCTGTTGATAGAGTTGCCGTCGTTGCCATCCGCGGTAACAGATGCGGTGATGGACATCGATCCCTCGACTACAACCACGGGTGTTTCTCCGGGAGTAAGTGAAACCTCGATACCACCGATCGTCGTCATGGCACCAGGCATCAAGGTTTGACCATTTGGCAGTAGCAAGCCTCCGCCATCAGTCGCCGGAATGAAGGAGAACCCAGAAGGAAGGGCACCCGGAGCAATCGTTGTGCCCCCAAGGACCACGCTGCTTGCTGCTGCATTGATCGCAATCGTTGTGGTACCAGCAACCAAAGCGGAAGAGTCGCGTGAGATGGTCATGGTACCGATGATGGTCACCTCGCCTGGCTCCAGTCCCGAGACAAGCTCGCTGACATTGACGGTCGTTCCATCTATGACCACTGTAGATAGACTCGGTGTCTGAATAGCTTCCAGTAGCGGAATGGTTTGTGTGCCACCAATGACAAGAAAAGAAGCCGAAGTGTCTCGGGAAATCGCAATGCCGTTGACGGTAGTCATTTCGCCTGGGCCAAGTTGTGTGGCGACTAGACCAATGTCAACCGTCGTCCCACCAACTACCGCAGGATCTGATCGAGTTGCTAAACCCTGTGGAGGGAGCGTGAAAGTCGTAGTACCGCCTATAACAACGAAAGAAGCGGAAGTATCGAATGAGATGGCAACGTCGTTGATGGTGGTTTGCTGTCCAGCAGTGATCATGCTTGTAGCACCGCCAACCATAATAGCCGAGCGTGATGGATCTACTACTACGGGGCCGATACCAGGTAAAATCGTGGTCTGCATTTCGTTTGGACGAGGACTTGTCGTAGAAGCCGGAGAGTGAACGGGTAATGTAGACAATGCACCCGGCGGCGACACAGGACCTGTTGCTGTCGGGCGACCTGGAAGTGTACTTTGCGGCAATGCAGGAATGGTCGTTTGTTCAGGTGAAATTCCTGGTTGGTCAGTCTGACCAGCCTGAAGATTGTACGAAGATGTGGTCTGGATGATCGTGGGCGGAGGTACCAGTATTACTGTAGACGTACTTGGATCTGGTCAGCTGGCAGTGTTATCAAGACGGGCTTGCTGCTTACCTGGATCCTGAAACTATAGGGCCAAAGATGTCTGGAGTAAGATAATCGTAATCGAACAGCGTTCTAGCAGTTATGACTGTCGACGTGATTGTAGGACCAGCACCCGAGGGCTCTCCTGCCGGCACCACGATTGTCGTGACACCCGTTAGTATCGTCGTTTGAGTAGTAGTGGGGCAGCCAGTCTGTGGCTCTGTTCGGGTTGCCATCATAGTAATGGAGCCATTCAGATGACGATATGTCCTGCGAAAGATAAGCATGCTGCCAGTCGAACAATGGAGAACCTACGTGAGAGTCGTTGCAGCGGCGTTCACCACCCTCTTCTCGAGGGCTGAATCAGATGCAAGTCTCACTCCCTCGTCAGATGTAACTTGCACTGCCTCATCAGTCAAAATTCCAACTGTCTCAGTCCTGGTCAAAGTTGTGCCGTTGAGAAATGGGGTAAGGTGGACGATGAGAGAAGAGGTTACAGTCTCTACTTCTGTAGAAAAAGTGATTTCGGGTTCGAATGAGGTGAAAGTCGACACGTAAGTGAGACTAGTAACGAACGAGGCACATTCCGAAGTTGGCGTCAAAGAACGAGCAAAGTTTACGGCGGCGCCAGGATCTGTATCTCATAAGTCTATATCATGTATTTCTAGCCAGAGAGGTACCTGAAAAGAGCAAAGTAGCAAGCACAACCACTCTCATCCGGCACAGTAACTGAGTGTTGGGAATGGGCCACCACATGTTGAACAATGCAAGGTCGTGGGAATTGCGGATGTAGGTATCGAAGTACGAAAAACGTTTTGGAAAGGTGAAGGATAGGTGATCGAAGGGAGCAGGCTGGATGCGCTATCTTCTGTTGTGTAAGCTCACCGGTGGGCAACCATCCAACATTTTCAGCCTCGCGACTGGCCCCCAACAGTAGTCTGGGCACGACGATTTTGGTTGGCCACAGTGCACTCCATTGACCAAATCCGGAGAAATACGATACACTTGATTGCCCTGCAGGACGCATGGTGTGAGGTTTTACACAGCCCACCAACCATCTTGTCAGTTATCCGGCTGTGGAGAAGGGCGAGACCAGCCACAAAGCCTGGTTCATGGTCAAGTATAGACGCATCGACGCATCTAGAGACCCGTATTTCTTTCCTTATCTTTAGTTCCCACCATTTGTAGAACAGCATCATCCTTCTCTGTCAGGAAACCGAAAACATGGTGGAAGCACTGTCACTCGCTGCATCAGGGAGCTGGTCTGGTAACGATGGAAGCTGGTCGACGTACGCCTCCGGTAGATTGTGAAAGTACGTTGAGGCTGGTGCTGACAGTGGTAGTTTCCTTGTCCAGGCGGGAACGCCACCGCAAACATTCAATGTGCTGCCAGCAACTCAGGCGCAGAACATTTTGCTTCCTGTCGCCGATGAGTGTGTTAAGCTGCAAGGCGGTTCGGCTTCGTGCGGCAGCTCTCGCGGTGTGGCTCCGTTCCAACAAAGTCCAAGCCCTGGGTTTCAAACGAACATGTCGTCGACCTGGGAAGCCATCGGTCTTTATGAACTTGGAATGGGAAGAATCCATGGAATCACTGGAAATGGCCTCCATGGTTTTGATGATATCAAGCTGGATAACTTCATAATGGCACATCTAGCGGTTACTGCATATGCCTCGCCTGGTTTCTGGATCGGTCAGATGGGGCTATCGCCGTTGCCACTGAACTTTTCAGAAACAATCAACTCGCCATCGTTTTTCTCAGCTCTCAAAAACGATGGTCATATACCCAGTCTGACGTACGGATATCAGGCTGGCGCCCCGTATCGCAAGACGAAGATAGCCGCCAGCCTCGTTCTTGGAGGCTATGATCTTGCACGTGCATCAGAGCCCTTGACAATTGACATCAACACCGACATGTCCAGAGCTCTTACAGTCGGTCTCCAGGATATCATAGTTACCGACTCTTTGAACGGAACACTTTCGCTGGTTGACAATGAGCGAATCCTTGCTCCGATCGATTCGTCCATCCCAGAGATATGGCTTCCGAAGTCTGTTTGCGATCGTTTTGAGTCCGTATTCGGTCTGGAGTATCATGAGAGGTCGGGAAGATATGTCCTCACGGATTCGGCGAGGGATCGTCTCCGGGGACTCAATCCCACATTGACGTTCACTATTGGTACCAACGCCGTCACGGGTGGCAACACTACTTTGATCCAACTCCCATATGCGGCTTTCGATCTGCAGGCAGGGTATCCAATTTTTGCGAATGCGACGAACTATTTTCCGATTCGAAGAGCTGATAATGAGAGCCAATATGCCATTGGCAGAGCGTTCCTACAAGAAGCTTACATCGGCGTTGACTTCGAGGCTGGCATATTTAACGTCAGCGCGGCGAAATGGGACGATCTGGAAGCTGATATTGTGACTATTCCAGCTGCTGACCGTGATTCCGGGGAAGCCCATGGGCAGGGCATCTCGGGTGGTGCGATAGCTGGGATCGTCGTCGGATGCGTAGCAGCGATCGTGCTCTGCATTCTGTGCACATGGTATTTTGTATGGAAACCTAGGCGAATGCGGAAGCAAAGCACAGTGCCAGTAGAAGAGAAGGGAGCTCACGACGCGCTAGATCCGGCCCCGGAGCTGATAGGTGCGACCTTTCACGAATTGCCAGCCAAACACGGCGATAGCGAACTAGAGGAGATCGTGACGATACCAGAGCTGGGTAGAGAGGAGCATGTTCATGAGTTGCACCCAGATTGCGTTCGATGAAGGAGGGCTGGTGCCGGATGCCGCCTGCCCAGGTGCCGAACGACCTCGGGAGAGACGCGCCGATGACTAAGCACGCTAGCGTGATAGCTTCCAAAGGCTGTCGCGCTCATGGTCAGCTGCGCCAGGTTTACACCATTTTCTTTCAACACATTATTTCTCAGAAAACTTTGAAGCAAATAGCTCCCTTTTCTTTCACCCACAGAACCTGAGCAAGCAGCACAGTTCTCAATCTCGTACTGAATCATATCATCTCCTTTTGCATTGTGTTGCATCGGAGAAGGAGTATATACTTTCTTTTCTCAACGCCTTTTACATACATACAGCAATCAGTTGACCTATTGAAGCAATCATATTTACTGTGCGTCACATTATATCAACTCAATATTCGCCCAACTCGAATTGCTTCATGATCGAATAAGATGACCTCCACTAAAGACCAACTAGACAATGTAAAATAACAGGACGCGGTAGGTGAATACTATGTGGCGGATCGCGACTCGTTATACTTCGTTCACAATACGACCTTCCCGGATGCATGTGAACAGAATCATGTTTCTTCTCTTGGTCAGCGCAGCCCGTCACACAGTCTCAACGCACAACAATGACGATCGACCCACACACCCTCACGCTGTCCACCGCTCTCGAGCCTCGGCAATCACCCTCTAATGAGAAGTGTGCTATCTGCCAGGAGTCATTAGAGGACGCGCCTCCTGTCTACGATCCAGTAGATGAACATACATCCGATACAGATTGTCGGGCTGACATGGAAGCAGTCGTTACGAAGGTCTGTGGCGACAAACACTTCTTCCACCGGACTTGCATCGAATCGTGGTGGAAGTCCGGTAACCCTCATCTAAACACTTGCCCTATCGATCGTACACTTTGCTACGGCGACGTACGTGTACCCCAAGAGCCTGTCAACCTTCCTACGTATACTACATTCCCAGGTCATGACCCGCATGCACACGGTACCGTTCACCTAGGACCTCTTTCAGCTGATGACATAAATTTCATTACCGCCGCACGAAACCAGGCATTCATCTCAATGCTCACTCCGCATCAGGTCGTTACAATCGGTCCACTCGTGGGCAATCTGCTTGAAAGTGCGATCGAGACTGTGCAGAGACGTACATCGGAGCTTGCTAACGAAGTTACGATCGACTGCTACCTGGATGCTCGCGATCTTGCGGAAGGGCTGGCCGCAGGTTACATCACGCGCGAAGATATAGATTTGGCCAACAGCATCGCCGAGAATATAATGATCACGGCCGTGAACCGTAGCATTGTCCCGGTTGGAGCGAGGGAAGGTGTGCAGGCTCCTTCCACTGCCGGTCCACATATTTCTGACGACATGTTTGGGCAAACGGTAAGAACTGGAGCCGACGAAGCCATTCCTAACCCCCAACGTGATCAACTCAGCCACAATGGTTCTGTGATTCACAGGACTGTACGCCTCCAGCTACAAATGCACGGGCCACAGCATTACCTTGATAGTATGGCTCATATGGTTGGCTTCTTCGACGATGACGAAGATGATTCTGGTGGTGGTGACATGGGTTAGGATTCTGTTGACGAGGCTGGTGATATCATAAATGCCAGCTTCTTCGAACCTCACCATTGAGATCATTGTAGGTAGGCAATGGCAAAAAGAGTGTTCGTACGATATACGTGGATGAGCTAGGTGAAGCTGAGTCAAACTGTGAAATCGTCTTCAAGGCACCCCGAGGTCTACGTCGCTTTCTACAAGCGTGCGCCTTGCCACAACTACTAGCCACCGTACCCCTGAGATTTTCCGGATTTATCCATCGGCTCTTATACCAGGTAGAAAGGGAGGTTAATAGCAAGAACGCAAGCCGGTGGGGAACACGCAGTTCACACACGGCTCGACTCGAGCTGACAACCCCACCCCGCCACCGCATGCGGCAAAGCGCCAGATCCCGCTCAGGATGGCTGGCTAGCCTCGCAATAATCTCAGCACGTCACGAGCACGGAAGCAACGAAAGCACGGTGTTCCAAGCCTGCAAGTGAAATCGCAAAGATCTCCGACTACTTCCATCTCTTGCAGCTCCGATGGCCATGGCCCCTTGGATATGTCTCCACTGAAGCGTCCGAGTGAGGATGCGGAGCATGAGGATGGGCGCCGACCTGCACCACGAACGCCGAGGATTAGAGCTTGTAAGTTCATGGACGCGCGCCCCACTTCATCATTGCTTCTCTTTTTTTCTTACAATGTGTTGTTGTAGGTGCGGAGTGTAAAAGACACAAGATCAAATGTGAGCCCGTCGACAATGAAGCGAAATGCGCAAAGTGTTTGCGCAGCGGAACGGAATGCGTTCCTTATAATTTGAATCAACGGCTTTTGGATGAAGATGCGGCGTAGGTCAATTTCACACGTGCTCTCTTCACCATCGCTAAGTACTTCAGTTGGAAATCAAATGCGACAGCCGAGTTGTCGCAGCTGCGTTCTGCGGTGCAGCGTCTGCTGCAGCACAACAAACTGCCCGGTTTGGATAGTCCAGTTAGTCAAGATACGCCGCCGCATTCAGCAGGACGCACCATGACCATCAGCCCGACAAACGTCATGTCCGAGAGCGGGCATGCGACGTTCGTTGTTCCGCCGCCCATGGATATGACGAGAGATACCTCTGTTGAGCGCGAGTCCGGAGAGGAGTCTGGCTTGGTGACAGCGCCTATGAAGAGTTTATACGACCTGACCAGGATCCGGAACCTTCGGAGTAGCGTGCGATGGAAGCCCAACTCCAATTCTGTGGAAGAGGACTTCATAGCTCAAGGCATTGTGTCTTTGCCTGAAGCTGAGGACCTGTTCAGACGGTATATGCAGGACATTCGGCTTTATCTCTGGGCTGGTGTACTTTTCCCGTATGACTCTCTGGATGCAGTCCGTCGCCAGTCCACTCTTCTCACTGCTGCTGTGCTTACCATCTCAGCACTACACACGCCTGGTCGAGACGAAGCACTGCAGAAATGCTACAACATCTTCGTTTCATTAGTCTACAGTGCCTTTCTCGCTCGGCCTCAGAATCTGGATGATATTCGCGCGCTGGCTCTTGCCGCTTTCTATCTCTCGAATTTGAGCTGGAAGTTGGCCGGCCTGGCTGTGAGGAACGCCGTGGAGATGAATCTGCATATGTCGTACCAGAAACTGATGCGAGGGCATGAGGACCAGCGGGACAACGTGCGTCTATGGTACGCGTTGTATGTCTGCGACAAGCAGTTCAGCATCGCATATGGACGACCATCTATCGTCCACGAAGACATTGCCATCAAGAACATTGAGAATTTCCTCGACAGTCCCAAAACGACCCCAGGAGATATCAGACTGGGGGCGCAAGTCACTTTGTTCAAGATCCTGACAGAAGCATACATTGCCTACGGCAGCGATCCAGAGCAACCACTCACGGAACCCGACTTCCAACAACTCCGCCTCTTCAACTTCGCCATCGAACAATGGCGGCTCGCATGGCAGGCCCGATCTGCCGACAGTCCATCCATCGGATCCTACCCATCGAAAGGCGTGGTACTATACTACCACTTCGCCAGATTTCAACTGAATTCCCTGGCGCTGCGTGCTCTCCCACCGCCCAGCGCAGCCACATCGGAATCACTCTCCTACGACCGCCGCGAAGCAGCCAACATAGCCATCACCGCCGCAACCAGCACCCTCACCCTAATCTTCGAGGAGCCTGATCTGCGCAAGGCCATGACAGCAGTACCCATCTTCACGCACACCATGGTCGCTTTCTGCGCTACTTTTCTGTTGAAAATGGCAAAGACCTGGGGCGGCATGGCACAAGTGCAATCGCCAGAGTGGGCAACCGAACCCGTCGGCCTAGGTCTCAATTTCAACATCAACCAAGTCCTATCCTTGTCGCGGCGCTCATCCTCTTTTCTCGCGAAGGTGGCGGAGAATCTGAACGAGAAACATATCACGACACATATTGTTCAGGGCATCAATGATTTGTTGAAACGGCTGGATGTTGCGGGTACGCCGTCGGGGTCTGTGACCCAGGGCGGCTTTCCGGCTGCTTCGCCTGCTACCACGACTGTGTTTGATCCTGTCAAAGCGGCTACGGCGCGCAATGATGAGGGTGTGGATGTGACGGCGGGGAATGAGTATAACATGTATGATTTGATTGGTTCTTATGGGTTTGGGTTTGATGAGACGTTTTTGGGTCAGGTTGCGCCTACGAACTTGGATTTCTGGCAGACGGAGCCTTTTTGATGGGGCGGTATGTATTCGTAATTTAGGGGAATCCCTCTTACCTTGTTCTCCAATGACAAAAGGACTTCACACCCACCTTCACATCATGCCACTCTTGAAGTTGTAGTCCAGTCATATTGGCGTTCCTGGTTATACCTACATACCACCTTCGTCCAGCCGACACCTCGCATCCAACGTTATTATCCGAGCGTAGTGACAGGCGGCGGTGTCGGGTGGTGAAGGTGGGCGTGCGGAGCTTGCGAAGAAAGCTGGTTAAGGCACTGGTGTTGTTTGGCGAAAAGAGCTGCAGTTTGCTTCGTCGATGGGATAGGCAGCAGCAGCGATTGCTGTGGCGGAGCGAGTATGTAGGCAGCTATGCAAGTTTAGCAATGCGCAAGGCTGGACAAGGCTGCCCTGGTGCTTGAGACTGTCCAGGCGAGGCTGATGCTCGGAGCTTCTGCGCGCGCTCGTGAGGGCAAGCTGCGACAGCCGCCGGGGAAGCTCCTGCTCTCCATCGAGACGGTGACAATAATAGAAGCGAGGTTTCTAGAAGTAAATTATGCGCGTGTCGCCGGCGGGACAAGCAACGTGTGAGTGCATCGACAACGTCGCGATTGTTCTGCCCCTCGCTACTAGGCGTTGCCGGGGAAGGCGCGTTTGGCGGTGAGGCGCAATTGGAAGGCGCGCCCCACCGTGATTGGCTTAGCCGCGGCCTTCTCTGCGTTTCTGCCGCTCTGTCTAGAAGATTCTCGAGCTCCACCAAAGACTATATCAGCCC